CCACAGCCATCTGGTCACAGCTCGGCCTAGCCTACCTCGTCCACAAATCACTGATCTTCTTCCGTGTGCCACTTACCGCAGCCGTCCTCCCCAAGGTGGTCAAAACATTAAGGAGCTGGGGCTACAACATCGGCAAGAGGAAGCCCAAGACGCCGCCAGTCTAATTGCGAACAGACTTTCACCACCCGCCCACGGGCCATCGAAACCACTCCTTGTACATTCATGCATTACGACTTTGTAACAACATACACCTGTAGGATACGCATGTCAGACGAGCACCTCTGTTACATTCTACTAGTAGCGCACCAGCACATCTAGCGTCTCTCGACGTTGACCGCAATGTATATTCTCGGTCCTTGCAGCGGCATGTCTTGACATTAGACAGCAATCACCGATACATCTAATTCCTCTTTCAATACATTCACCTATACAGCGAATCCCTGTGGTGGTTCTCTTGAATTTGACATCTTCCATTCATTCCCGCGCGTCTACTCTTCAATGCCGAGGACGGCACCTCAGGACAAGGAGCGTTTCAGGCCTCCCCCACGATCGCTCGCCAAACCTTGTCGGTCCAGACGAGCCGCGGAGTGCTCTCCGCAGATTGTGCTCAAACCTAGCGCAATAACCCCGCTGCTGGGAATGTTGCTAGAAGAACTTCAATCGTTGGCAAAACCGCGCTTACACAAGGAGCACCCTGTGCTCACGAGGGTACCAGCCGTGCGAACAGCAGCCGTAATGTTATGCATAACATACAAGGCGTGCAGGGGAGCGTGGCCTTGTTCTCGACCGCACCCTCGCGTTGCTGTTGCCGGCCCTGGACGTTGGGAATAGTAGTAGCAATACCAAGCCGAACTACCATCGACTTCGGACCTTCGGACCTTCACCGTATATCGGACTTCTTTTTCGAGCTTTCCCGGAACGCGGTATCAAGACTGCAAATCTTCGCCCAAGTTGCAGAGTTTTGCCGCATGGGACATGGTGTTCTCATCCGAGCTTTACCCAGTCACCAAGTTCCACCTCGTTGGACTATCCCTATTGCGCATCGGGCCTTCTTGTGTGGAAAGTTTCCCTACCTTCGGGATTTCCCCTACACTCTAAATCTACTCGCTTACCCAATTCGTACCCTGAAGCCGTTCACACCGATGTATCTTTTAGCCTCGGGGGCATCTTTTTGAAACCTTGCAGTCTCCTAATCGATAAACCATGTGAACCATGTGCTGCTCTGGCAGCGATTAGTCTTCTCCATACTTGGCATCCATCATAATCGTACGATGGGCCTCGAGGCTTATATGTACATCAGTCTTATATGTCGCTCTCGATTATTCTGAAGCCCAAACTATCGACCTTTTGACCGAAGGTTGATCAAGATGACCAAATACATGCTCCGGAGGAAGGCTGCACGCGCGTCGACGCTCATCACATTAAAATCTTGGATCACGATGTGATGCCAATACGCACACTGCGGTAACTTGTTTCCGATGAAACGCGTTACAAGCATCCACTCTGTATTTTGACAACGATGGCAGCCTCGCTTCGTGCCGCCGACAAGGCATCAGCCGCGAACCTGCAATTGTGACCAACTGCCGAATTGAGGCGTCGCGGAGATGATGTGTCTCAACGGTACAACAGCATTGACGGGAGCTAAAAGCTTAAAGATGTAGCTAAGCCGTCACATCGCAAGTACGCGGAGAAAGTCCCAAACAGGTAAGCAATGATTCATCTATCGATGATCACTTCTTGGTCGCCGTATACGGGTCAAGACACTGCCGTCGACCATCTACCAGATTGGTAATATACGGAATATACGGAGATGAGATCAGTCATATGGAAATGCTAAGATAATGTGAGGCGTTCTTGCACGTCCCAGGATACCCTTTCGAGAAATGCATGAGGCTGATTTCAAGTGTCGCTATCCCTATAACTTTCCCCGCTGTCGTCCGTAACTACCGCCAAGGCTTCCCCGTCGTTACAAGGGCAGAGAGTACGCGGTGTCCGTATCATCATGTCGACGGGTAGGGGCACCGGTAGACCCATATAACAACCGCTCAACACGTCTCGACAGCCGTAGTGCTGCCGGAACCCGACATTCCAGATGCTTCCAAATAGTACAGCATCCTCGTAAAACAACGCAAGGCAACGTGGTTGAACAAGGTATGTATGAACGCAATGAGACCCGAGTAGCCACATGGTAAGGCAGCCAGGTCAATTAAACGCTCACGGGGTCGTTCTTGGAACATTCTTAGAGGGCTTGTATCGAAGTTGTAGCTGTTCGAGCAAGCGTGACAAATTGGTTCCTGATTCTACAAAAATTTGAAAATCGTGATGTACGGACGGGTACGGGTGAGGTTCGCGGGCGCGTATATCCTGGTGGACCTCAGTCGTTTCAAACTCTGGAAACGACATAAGCATCTCATCGTAGGCAATGATGTGCGCCATGCCCAACATACACGACGTACACGCGTCAATCCTGTGCGACGTGCTGCCGAAGAAACTGCGCATCGTGCGCGAGCGTAGCTGTAGAGGAGAGAGAGAAAAATTCACCGACCGCGATTTTCTTCCAAACCACGCCTGCACGTGTCTGCGCTAAACCCGATGTCACAACCCTGCATGTGCCCCTAACCCCTTTGATCCACAACCAACCCGAGCAAGCCTCACCCACGCAACGCAACCACCAACGCGCATCCCCAACACCCACCCTAAATACCCCACCCCACATGACTTCCTCCAATCTCGCGCCGCATTCCCTACGATGAAAGATCGCGATCCTCAAATCCCATTGTACACCGGCATACCATGCCCCGCCTTCCGCTGCGCCTCTTCCGCCTGCCGACAACGCGAGCGAAGCGCCGTCGACGCATGTACACCATGTTCTTCCTGCTGTTTGTGATGGTGGCTTTTGTGCTGCCTTTTTACGTCATTTACAAGCCGCCGAATGCGTTGGTACGGTATTTTCAGCGGAGGTGGCCCGATGTGCTTTGGCACGTGCCTTTGGCAAAAACAGCGGGAGGAGAGAAAGTTGTTGCTTTGACGATTGACGATGCGCCGTCGGAGTACACAAGAGAGATTCTGCAGGTACTAGAAGAATACGATGCGCATGCAACGTTCTTTGTTATTGGAGGCCAAGTCCCAGGAAGACAAGATGCACTCGAGGCTCTCGTGGAAAACGGCATGGAACTTGGAAACCACGCCATGCACGACGAGCCATCCCGTTCCCTCAGCCCTGAAACCCTCACTGCAGAAGTAACCCAAGTAGAAGGTTACATCAACGGCACCTACGACGCAGTGGGGAAACCGCACCCGCCACGTTACTTCCGCCCTGGCTCGGGTTTCTTCAGCACGAGGATGAGGGCGCAGATTAGGGAGATGGGGTATCAGATGGTGCTGGGTAGTGTGTATCCTCATGATCCGCAGATTGCCCACCCGGCGGTTAATGCGCGGCATGTGCTTAGTATGGTGAGGGAAGGCAGTATTGTTATTTGTCATGATCGGAGGGGGTGGACGGCGCCGATGTTGAGGAAGGTGTTGCCGGTGTTGAAGAGGAGGGGGTATAGGGTTACGACTGTGTCGGGGTTGTTGGAGGCGGCGGGGAGGGGGTGAGGTGTGGAAAAGCAATGAGATTGCAATAGTAGGAAGAGCTGCGGCGGAGCATGAGGTGTCGACATCGAGGAGATGGCGATCGTATGGGAATTGCGTTCATCCGTCCAAACGATGATAAGATAACGTAGCATCGCGGCCGCATCTGGAAGTCCTCCCAGATGATTTGTTCCGGTCGATGGCGTGTCTGCTCTATGCTGAGACCACAGTGCAGACTGCCACAAAATATCGTTCTTCTCAATGTTACAAGCAGGACCAACACCGAAAGAATTATTAGCGGCCGTCCATACACCAGGAGTACACCTAGATACTGTATCGGTACAGCAGATCTTATATCAAAGGAATCGGTCGACACACGGGTAGCAAGTCGACAGAAGCAGTACATCATCCCTAAGGAATGATCATTATCTTCAAAAGCTTTGTTTCTTCTCTGTGATCTTGTATTGACCAAGATTTTTGCGCGTAAATCCCAATCTTTCGAACTACAACTCAGCCAGTTCTCCGTTCGTGTTCAGCAGACAGTGTTTATCCTAAACCACAATGAAACATATCATCACGAGTCTAACAACCAACACCACCGCAGACATCGGAAGCCTCTTCCTAGCCGTGTTGATATCCCACTCATCTCAGCTATAATTCTCTCTTCGTTACCGGTACAAGCATTCATAAAAACTCCGCTCATAACATGATGACACCCACACATACATACACATTCTCCTATATGCAATCTACACCTGCGGTCTTGATAAGCAAGCCTTAGTCGTCTTTGCAGCTGCATGCAGCGAAGCATATCTAGGTGAGGTATCCGGGAAGACTTCCGGGTAGCTCATGGCACGAAGTTGTTCAACGTCATAGTTGTCATGGTTCGACATCACCATCACGCCTTCGCGGCAAAGACAAAAGTTAATGTCGTCAATGCTGTGTAAAGCAAGTTGGATGGATTTTTTGCATCACAGCTTGTCTTCGGTTACTAAGAGTCTTCTAAGTTTTGTTGTTGTGTAGTGCGAGGATATAGGAATGACAGAGGTTGTGCTAGAATTTATCAACGTCTCCATGCTGAAGCGAGTTCAAAAGAAAGACCTGTGGCAGCTCAAAGAATGAGTCTGAGCAATGTTCGTGTGTCAGGATAGGTGTTAGATATTACCAAGCCTCAAGGACATTACCTCATGGATGTGTATGACTTTCAAGCACGTTGATCAAAACACGAACAAAACAACATCACCATTGCATAATCAAGACGATTGCATGAATTATTTCCTTCATTGAGGTATATTACATCGTAAGCAAGCCCTTTATCAAGCTTTTTGCTAGCTCATATCATCTGCATCATTCGCTGACTGTAGCATCAATCTAAACCGCCAAAGATGAGAATCCCTAAACTCCTCTGCCGTTATAGGGCGAGACGCTTAGTCGAAGGGGTTGGTGCGGGTTCCCCAGTAGGTGAGGAACATGCTGAGACCGACGGTCTCGAGGACGCGGGCAAGGGCACCAATGGCGATGGTGTCCATGGGGCGCTTCTCGGTGACGACCTGGGAGACAATCTGTTTACCTGTTAGTGGATAATTGTGGAGTTTGGTTGACACGTGGGATGACGTACGGAGGGAGCGGCGGAGGCGAAGAAGATCAGGGAGCCGAGGTAAGCAGCACCCTTGTAGGTGAGAGTTCCGGTAGCGTTGATCAGAGCACCGACACCGTAGGCCTGGATACCAGAGCCGAGGACGGAGCTACCCCACGATGCGGCGGCGGTAGCGGCCTCCTTGCTGTGGAAGTACTCCTCCTTGGAGTTGGCCTGCTGTGCGCGGCGGTATGCGTCACCGAAGACGGGGCCGAGGACAGCGAGGGAGACGGCGTGGTTGAAGGCCGTGCCGAGGGCGATGGCAGAGGGCTTGACGGGAGGGAGGTCTGAGATGAATTGTTAGTCAGATTCTTCAATTGCGATGCGGAAGCTGCCAGACATTGCGCAATTGCTCGTCCAAGTGCGGGCAGCAGCTACAACGTGGAGTGAATGAATACTTACAGTGTAGGGAGGCCATTGTGATGGTGGTATGTGGTTTGGGATGAGGTTATGGGGAGAGTAAAGTGAGTTTGCTTGTGGTGATGGTTTGCAGGAGACCAGGAAGACGAGCTCTTTTGTAGTCGCAGCCGCAGCGAGGGCCTGCACCTGACATTCGTATGACGTAGATGCCAAGGCCCCACTCAATCGTGGACAATCGAGCCAGAACCTGGCTCAGCCCGTCCCAATTGATGCAAGTCCCATCCACTTGCCCTCGTGCGGGTCTGGACTGTACGCCATAGCAACTTTAGCATGGCCACAGCACGGCCAAAGACTGGCTTTTCGACTTTCGACGTGCTTCCTTCGCGCGTCTCTCACTCAGGTACGTCACTTGGGAAGTGGAGTGAGCAGGGAGCTCGGACCCACTACCCCATCTGCCAGCAATTTGCGGCTGCGGGTTGTGTGCTTCCAGGATTTAGCGCTCGCATCCCCCTCGGTTCGTCGACAGGTACACCTTGCCTTTGCGTCGGGGAGGGGGATGATTTTCCCTCTATCCTTGTCGCACCTCTGCCAATGCGCTTCCGCTGCTGTCCTGCAGCAAAGTGCGCGCATAGATTTGCTTTTGAATTGAACCACTGCCAACTTCACGCGCTCCACGGAGCTATCTCCTAGCGGCATGATGATACCAAAGAAGGCCTTCGGCCTCGTTGTTTGCCTGCTTCTCGCGACAGGCCTCATACTTTTCTCGCGGACGGTGGGACATTCGCTCGCCGAGTACTTCTTCGGGCCGTATGGGCCAGTCATACCCTACACCACGCATATCGTGTTGTTCCAGTTCAAAGACGGCACCAGCAAGTTCGCTGTCAAGGAGGTCAGACGCGCAAGACCCACGCTGATGAGCGACGCTGAGACCACTTCTTAGGTGATTGCGCAATTCTTTGGGCTGAAGAAAACATGCATACATCCAACTACGCTCAGGCCGTACATTGTTTCGATCTCGGGAGGGAAGGATATCTCGACTGAGAATCTGCAGGTATTCAGCGCCGATCGAAGTTTGGAGATCGTCAACCATCTGACCTTCTCGAACAGAACGGCATCAGCCACGCTTTTGTCCTGCAGTTCCATTCCATCGAAGACCGTGATTACTACGTCAATGATGATCCAGTTCACAAGACATTCAAAGAGGCGGCAGCATCGGCACTCGAGAAGGCGATTGTCGTCGACTATCAGAATGGGGTTTTTACAAGTGTGTAATTCTAAGAAAAGCAGTCTATCTTGCGTTCGGAAGAACAACGCGTCCGAATGCCCTCGTCAAAAAGGCCTTTCCTTCGTCGATATACCATTATCCGCCAATTGGAAATACAAAATAATCAATCAACTCCGATACTCCAAGTTATTACTCTCGCCGACTAAACCTCCACGCCATGAAACACCTTGCAACTCCAGCTCATTCGATCGTCGTTTTCAGGAACCCACCAAAGCTTCTCTCGATCCTCAATCCTCCGTCATCTCCCTCGCCTGCTCTTCCATCTCTCGCCTATTCTCACATGTCTCCCTCTCTTCAGTCGTTGCATGACCATGATAGTCGCATAATTCAGGCTCCTTGACGTCTTCCATACCATAGTCGCGGAAATCGCTAAGATGTTTCATAAGCTTTGCTATGAAAGGAAACGGCAAATTCTGGATCTGTTCAGTCTCCCAGCACTCACCGTTACCGTGGTAGCAGAAGCCGTCGATAATCATGCGAAGAAGCGGATCCTCATCGTTCAAATTCTTGACCGCGTAGGCAACGTCGTTTAGATTCGGCAGTTTATACGCAGTTTCATCCCCGAGATGCTCGAAGAGCGCGTCCAGGCAATCTCGTTTCAGCTTAGGGACGTTGTACTTGTCGGAGAACACGTAGAGTTTCATCAGCTTAGCGGATTGGAAGTAGGGGTATTCGTCGCCGCCGTTGTAAAGTGCGAGTAGTCGGGGAGAGTCTCCCTCCGTAGGAAAGCGTTGACGATAAAGCCAGTGGACGAACAGCTCGAAGATGTTCGCTTCAGTGTCAGGCAGGGTGACGATTTTGTCTTTGGCTTCTTTGAAAGATCCTTTCAGAGCAGCGAGGAAGAAGGGCGAGTAGTAGACGATGCGATTGAGCTGCACAGTGAAGCGTTTTGCCTTGGGTCCAACAACGATCTCAGCCATGGCGGTGTTAGGTGCTCTATCAAGGTCAGTACCTTGGGTAGTATGGGACTTGGGTATAATGACTTACGATATTCGGGGTTGAGTCTGTGCTCCCTGTTGCTGATTGGTGGACGACATATTGTTACTGAGAAGTTGATGTATAGTGGATAAAGGAGAGAGGAAGGCAGACAAGCGCGCGAAAGTCGGCTTTATATACACCTAGGTAGCCTGATCTGGGAGTTGATATCGTGGTCACTGCGGCGTTAAGCCCAGTGAGGGGATCCTTCACTACGACGCATCAGACTTCGTGATCTGGGTCACCTCGACATCTCGAGCGCGTATACGAGCAAATTACAAACGGGGCGAGGCAGTTGCACTGAGATTCCCGAAGGACTTGTGATCACCCGTCCTGTATTAAAGACGTACGCTGCGTCACAAAGCTTGCTCGAAAGTTGCTTGATCAATCCGCGTGGAAGTCGTATTGAACGTCTGTTTGTTGTACATTTACACATTTGCTACAGAGGCTTCGCGAGACGGCGCCCTCGCGTTCAAAGTGACATCTCACGCCTTGACCTTCTTCATCTTCTCCATCTTGTCCTTATGCGCCCTTGTGCGCTCCTCCTTCTCTTGCTGTAACCTTCGGCTCCTTTCTACCATGTACTTCTGCTTTGCTGGTCCGACGACCTTGTTCGGGGCCTTGCCCATATCCACCTCCTCAGGGTAATGCATGGTCCTCTTCATCTCAATCTCTGGGTACACCTTCTTAGGCGCGGGCAATGTCCTCTTGTCCAGACCTGTGGAGTGTAGTATCCGTAACCTCTCTACCATATCCCGCAAGCCGTCTACACCGTCCTTGCGGAATTGTGTGACCTTCTTGACGTGCGTTGTGATTCCTGGTGTCAGGCCTAAGTTTGCTGGTCTCCTTGCTAGTGTCTTTGCGGTCATAGCGAAGCGCATGTCTCGTGGCCCGTCTACGAGTTCGAGGATGGCGGATTCGGCTTGGTCTTCTTTCATGGGCTCGACGCGGAGGACTCGGGTGTAGCCGCCGGGTCTGGATTCGTAGCGCTCTCTTATGGGGCCAAACAGCTTGGGTACCATTTCATTTGGTTCCTGATATTATCAGTATGCGCTCTTGGATATGCCATTGGGGTTCGTACATAGAAGATCTGTGTCGCTCTCCGCCGCGTCGCCTCGGTGTTCTTCTTTCCGAGGGTAATCAGCTTCTCCGCTAACCGCTGTGCCTCCTTCGCCTTGTGCCATGTTGTCGCTATTGTCTCGTGCTTGAAGAGCGATGTGACGAGATTCCGCAGGAGCGCTTGACGATGCGACGACGACCGACTGAGGTGGCGATATTTCATGTGACCGCCTGCCATGACGGGCAATTGGTTCTGTATAGGCCGGGAAGGGCGTGGAGGGCGTCTTGATGTTGCTGCACTACCTCAGCCTCTTGCACGCCGCGATACTGTCGCCCGCGAAAAGTTCGGGCATCGGCGGTCGCTTCCCCGACTCCACATCCCTGCCACGCCTGCTCTGCTTATGCAAGCAGCCACTTTAGCACTAAACGGATCCGTGACCCAAGCAACGCGACGGGACGCGTTTCTTCTCTTTACGCGTTATAAGTGTCCCTGCGTCCACCCACCCCTCACTCCTGCACTCTCCTCAATACACCCTCTTCACGATACCCACACAGATACCCCCACTACTTTTCTAATTCAACATGTTCGTCCTCAAGCGTGGTATGTACTGCTTTGCCTTCACCGCCTCAAATCTTCACCACTAACGATGGACTTCAGATGGACGCAAGGAACGCGTACAGTTCGACAAGATCACAGCACGAGTCTCAAGGCTGTGTTACGGCCTCGACCCAGACCATGTTGACCCCGCCGCCATTACCATGAAGGTCATTTCTGGTGTCTACCAGGGTGTCAACACCGTCCAGCTGGACGACTTGGTACGGCTTTCGATGAGTTCAATGTCTTCCCAGTGGCTAACAGACGACAGGCCGCCGAGACAGCAGCATACATGACCACCACACATCCCGACTACGCCATCCTCGCTGCGCGTATCGCCGTATCAAATCTTCACAAGCAGACACAGAAGCAATTCTCTGTAGTTGTAGAAGAGCTGTACAACTATGTCAACCCCAAGAACAACACCCGCCAACCCATGATCTCTGATTACATCTACAAGATCATCATGGACAACGCCGACGAGCTCAACTCGGCCATAGTGTACGACCGCGACTTCAACTACCAGTTCTTCGGCTTCAAGACGCTTGAGCGCTCATATCTCCTCCGCATCAACGGCAAGGTCGCCGAGCGCCCACAACACATGCTTATGCGTGTCGCTGTCGGTATTCACGGAGCCGACATCGAGAAGGCCATCGAGACCTACGACTACATGTCTCAAAAGTACTTCACACACGCCTCGCCGACACTGTTCAACGCGGGTACGCCATCGCCACAAATGTCGTCATGCTTCCTTATCGACATGAAGGAGGACAGCATTGACGGTATCTACGACACACTGAAGACATGTGCGTTGATCTCCAAGACTGCCGGCGGTATTGGTCTCAACGTCCACCGCATTCGTGCTACTGGCTCATACATCGGTGGCACCAACGGAACATCCAACGGTCTCATCCCTATGCTCCGTGTGTACAACAACACTGCTCGCTATGTCGACCAAGGTGGCAACAAGCGTCCCGGTGCTTTCGCCATCTACCTCGAGCCGTGGCACGCCGACGTCTTCGGCTTCCTCGACCTGCGCAAGAACCACGGCAAAGAGGAGGTCCGTGCTCGTGACCTTTTCTACGCTCTATGGATTCCCGACCTGTTCATGAAGCGTGTCCAAGACAATGGGAACTGGACACTCATGTGCCCCAACGAGTGCCCCGGCCTTGCCGATGTCTATGGTGATGAGTTTGAGGCTCTGTACGAGAGCTACGAGAAGCAGAACAAGGGTCGTGAGACTGTCCGCGCCCAGAAGCTCTGGTACGCCATCCTTGAGGCTCAGACCGAGACTGGTAACCCCTTCATGCTTTACAAGGATGCTTGCAACCGCAAGAGCAACCAGAAGAACCTCGGTACCATCCGCAGCTCCAACCTGTGCACCGAAATCGTCGAGTACACTGCTCCTGATGAGGTTGCCGTCTGCAACTTGGCTTCTCTTGCCCTGCCTTCCTTCGTCGACTACAAGCGTGGCGAGTTTGACTTCAAGAAGCTCCACGAAGTCACACAGGTCGTCACCCGCAACCTGAACAAGATCATCGAGGTCAACCACTACCCAGTCGAAGAGGCACGCCGCAGCAACTTCCGCCACCGACCCATCGGTATGGGTGTCCAGGGTCTCGCTGATGCCTTCCTTGCCCTCCGCATGCCTTTCGAGTCCAATGAAGCGAGAAAGCTCAATATTCAGATCTTCGAGACCATCTACCACGCTGCTCTCACTTCCTCATGCGATATTGCAAAGGAACTTGGTCCCTACGAGACCTACCCGGGATCTCCCGTCTCTCAGGGTCAACTGCAGTATGACATGTGGGGTGTCGAACCTACGGACCTTTGGGACTGGGCTGCCTTGAAGGCAAAGATCGCTGAGCACGGTGTACGCAACTCTCTACTCATCGCGCCCATGCCAACTGCCTCTACTTCGCAGATTCTGGGCAACAACGAGTGCTTCGAGCCATACACATCCAACATCTACTCTCGCCGAGTGCTCGCGGGTGAGTTCCAGGTCGTCAACCCATGGTTGCTCAAGGACCTCGTCGACATGGGCCTCTGGTCTGAGAACATGAAGAACCGTATCATCGCTGATGGCGGTTCAATTGCCAGGATTCCCAACATCCCCGAGGAGACCAAGACGCTCTACAAGACCGTGTGGGAGATCTCGCAGAAGAGGATCATTGAGATGGCCGCTGACCGTGGTGCATTCATTGACCAGTCCCAATCTCTCAACATCCACATGAAGGAGCCTACCATGGGTAAGATCACTTCCATGCACTTTGCTGGCTGGAAGGCTGGTCTCAAGACTGGCATGTACTACCTCCGTACCATGGCTGCTTCAGCACCTATCCAGTTCACTGTCGACCAAGAGGCCCTCAACGTCGTAGACACCAACGTGGCTCGTGCTCTGCCCAAGGTACGAAAGCAACCGGGCTTCCAGCCTGAGGCTATCCGACACTCACCTGTCACTGCTTCGCAAACCCCATCTTCGGCACCTCGTCCAATGTATGCCACCAAACCTACCAACGGCGAGGAGAAGAAGGAGGAGGAAAACGGTGTTCCCACCCCAGATGCTACCCCAGATGCTACTCCAACGCCTGTCACGGAGACCCGCAACGCTCTCGCAAGCAAGCCTTTCAAGGCCGATGTGGAGGAGGGCGCGAGCCCAAAGATGGTAGCTGCTGATGCAGCCGTCAAGCCGGACGAGGAGATCACCAGGAAGGACAAACAAGATGAGGACTCCAAGGATGACAGCGAGGACCGGGATGGTGACATCTATGCTGAAGCCGCCCTCGCTTGCTCGATAGAGAACCCTGAGTCCTGCGTCATGTGCAGCGGTTAAGTACTGCAATGTACTTTTCCAGGACGGGTTTAGGTAAGAGCAGCGCTCTTACGCATATGGTCTTTCCGAATGTTTTCGGCGTTGGTGGTCTTTACGCGTAGGTACGCTTGGATTAACGCAAGGAGGTATGAGCTCATGAGTTGGATGTGTTTATTGTCAAGTCATAATGTATGTAGCGAACACAACGTTCTTTCAAACACACTTTTCCCACACATGCACATGTGTGTCCACCGTGATGTCCTCAATCTTCCCACGCTCCAACACTAGCGTGGCACGTTCCGAAAGCCGCGGCTTAATTCCGAACAGGAAGCTACATCTTCCCCACATTGCGCCCTACAACAGTACAACCAACACGCGCCCTTGCAAGTACACACTACTCGGCGTACCTCTATAAACACATTTGAAGTACTGCATACCGTACGTATCTTTCTCCACTCAATTCTCTCTCCCAAGGGCAAGGAGCTAACACACGCACCTTCTCGTAGCTCTCCCAAGCTCAAGCTCTCATAGCCGCAGCCCCACACGCCCGCCTACTTGCTACGACATCGGACACATACATATGTTCGCTCTCCGCACCTTCCGTCCCGCCATCGCATCTACGCTCGCAACAACATCATCGAGATACGCACCGCTGTTTCAACACCGCACAATGGCATCGTCTACCGCTGCTCCACTACAAGAATGGCTCATCATCGTGCCTGATCATAAGGATGCGTTGCAGAAACGGATTGCGGCTCGTCCGAAACATCTCGAGGGGTTGAAGGCGGATAGGGAGGATATGTGGTTGTGGGGTGGTATGTTTACCTTCCCTCCCTTGTACGAGAGAGAGGATAAAGCTAATGCTACATGTTCGTAGGAGCCATGCTCGAAGAACCCATTAAGGAAGGCGACACGGGCCCACCCAAGATGAAGGGCTCAGCGTGCCTTATTGGTGCTAAGACGAGAGAGGAGGTTGTGGAGAGGTTGAAGCAGGATGTTTATGTTAAGGAGGGTGTGTGGAATTTGGAGGATATGCAGATTATTCCTTTTAAGAGTGCGGTTAGGAAGGCGTTGTAGGAGTTTATTGAAGACATGTGAGTGTGTTCATGTCTGGGGCGGGCTGCGAGCTGCTCTTGACAACGCTGTGGCTGCCAATCAAACGTGGGCATCTCAATCTAGCCGCTCACTTCACATCTCCAAGGCCGCTATAGATATCTGCCGGCACATTAACTGCTTGAATTATGTCTTCATTGTGGCAATGCATTCATTATGCCGCAACACGTCAATTCGTCGTCCCCTAGTCGAGTTCGGAACTCTGCATACAATCTCCATCGTATGGCTATTGGCGATGCATCTCAGTGGCGTTGTGTAACGCGAGCCTCCAATGATACATCTCTTCCGTTATTCTGGCGCTGAAAAGCAAACACAACGCTGCACGACTCCGCACTGATAGCTGATCCTGCATGTACTATTGGACATGATGCACAGGTTAATGTAATGAATGCGCAGTGTGCTGAAGCGACATGTAGGTCTCTGCCTACTTTGGTTCCCGACCGAAGGCTGAACATCTTCTTTCTCAAGCATTCCGCGTGATATCTAGCTCGCAAGGCCGCTGTCTTGTGCGGTGGGTACACTTTCTCTGACCTCGTTGCATGCCCTTGTATACCAGTCATGGCACCCATCATCCACATCATCGACCCGGATCCGGATACGGTCATAGTGCTCAAGAACCCGTGTACGATCTTCGCGCGTTGGGAGCCAGAACGGGGACAACCAAATGATCTCGACGACTGGGGTTCCTGGGGAGCTGTGATTCCCGGCAAGAAGAAGAAGGAGACGATGAAGGAAAAGAGGGCGAGGATGAAGGCGGAGAAGGCGAAGAAAGCTGTTCTAATTTTCGAGAGCGCTGAGAGCAGCGATGTGTTTGCTTTGGACGACGGTTCTACCGCGCCTGCAGAGGCTTCATCTGCCATCCAGCATTCGTCGCCACCAATTGCACCGGAAGAGCCCGGAGAGCCTGAAGAGCAGTCAATCCACTATCACGTGTCCTCACGCCACTTGATGCTCGCATCCTCCACCTTCAAGCGAATGCTGGCACAAGACGGCTTCGCCGAGTCTGTGCGCAACGAAGTCGATGGCCTTTACCACATAATGGCCCACGATTGGGACCCTGAAGCATTTCTCATCGTCTTGCGGATTATCCATGGACGCAACAAGCAGGTTCCACGGGAGATAACGCTCGAAATGCTGGCCAAGATTGCTGTTCTGGAGGACTACTACGACTTCGGAGAGGCTCTCGATGTGTTCACTGAAGTATGGGTCCAATCCCTCCCAAAGACCTCTATACCTACGACGTATTGCGGAGATTTGGTGTTATGGGTTTGGGTCGCATGGGTTTTCGATATTGAACAACCATTCGCCCTGGCCACCTATACTGTTATCAGAGAAAGTACCGAATCCCTTCAAACCTTGGATCTTCCTATTCCTACGATAGTGTCAGGTATGTGTGTTCGACTGTCAACGGCAACATGATATCTGATGCAATACAGATGAACTCGACTGTAAGCGATATCAAGCAATTGAATCTGTCGTTACAGAGCTCTACCAGCACCTTGACAAGTATCGTCGGACCGACTATGCTTGTCCGTACGATTCTACTCTCTCTTTCCAGTGCGGGTCCTTTCTTCTTGGAAGTATGATGAAGGAAATGAGTCGCCTAGGTCTATATGAGCCTCGACCCGAGGTGCCATTCCTCGATGTCAGCTTTTCTGCGCTTTGTGAGCAGGTGCAAGGCATGCAATCCCCTTCCTGGATGAATCAAGGAGCATATTATGAGCATCGATGTAACCTCACGATGGTAACGGCGACCCTCATAGCAGATGTGTCAAAGACAGTTGGAGGTTTGAGCTTGAGCGAACTCAAACATAGATAGTACGACTATGTAGTGCAGCGCAAAGCCCAGAAGATCTACAAGGATGATGTTCTATTGCTCAGCTATATCCACCCCACAATTCTCGCCGGAAGTGACGATGAGCACTAAGCCACATACGATCTAGTGGCGAAACAGGGGTCCAATGTCCGATGTCAGAAGTCGGGAGTGACATGTCAACGATCATTTCAGCTGCAAACCTCCCTGAACTTCGACAATGCCACGATGAGCGAAAGCCAGAAGCTCCTGCATGAGCATCCTTCCGACAGCGACTCAGAACCCGAACACGAGCGCAAACCAAGTCCGCGACACCTGTCTCCATCGCCCTCGTCATCGCGAACCACCTCCGCGTCTCCAGCACCACCGGGGTCACGTCCAAATGGCAACATTAAGCGCCAGTCGTCGTTTGCACAAGCTCGGCCTGATGGAGCACCGAGAACGCCCAATCGGGTGCGCTTCGAGGAACCCAGGAGGAGCATGAATGGAGACAACAATGGCGGCGACTGGCTCGAGCTGGATGGGGACGACTACTTGGATGGCGGCGATGGACGAGAAAGAACGCAGCGACTTCCTCTACTTACTGGAATCGAGGCGCCGAGTGTCACAGTCGCCGAAGAATCCTTCAACCCGGAAGACCATCTCGAGAATGCGCGACCACGGAGCGGGATGCGGAGCGCGTTCATGAACATGGCAAACAGTATAATGTATGCCGGACAACACGAATACATTGAGGGGAGCTGACATAAAACAGAGGAGCTGGTATCATCGGCCAACCATACGCTGTTCGCAACGCCGGCCTCGTGACAGGCACCGCCCTCCTCATCGGCCTTACCATCGTGGTAGACTGGACCATACGGCTCATCGTCATAAACTCCAAGCTCAGCGGCACCGACTCGTTTCAAGCCACGGTACAACACTGCTTCGGCAAATCGGGGTTAATAGCGATATCTCTCGCGCAATGGCTCTTGTATGTTCACCTTCCGACATGTGGAAGCAAGGGTATTGACAGCATACAGCGCTTTTGGTGGCATGGTCGCGTTCTGCGTCGTAGTTGGAGATACAATACCAAGGGTCTTGGATTCGATGTTCCCTTCCTTAGCAGACATGCCGTTTCTCTGGCTACTGACTAATAGACGGGCCATCATGATCCTGCTCATTCTTGGCATATCCTTTCCACTGTCGCTCTATCGGGATATATCCAAGGTACGCGATCCGCGGTTTCGCCTCATATTTGCGCTGACAATTCGTAGCTGGCCAAAGCAAGTGGTCTAGCACTGGTCAGCATGACCATCATCATAGTGACCGTAGTCACGCAAGCCTTCCGCGTACCCGCCGAACTGAAGGGCCAACTCCGCGGCAACCTCATCATCCGCCCCGGCATCTTCGAAGCAATTGGCGTAATCGCTTTCGCCTTCGTCTGCCACCACAACAGCCTCCTCATCTACGGCTCCCTCCGCAAACCTACGATCGATCGATTTACACGCGTTACACACTACAGCACCAGTATATCTTTAGTCGCATGTCTTGTCATGGCTCTAACAGGCTACTTGACCTTCGGAGACAAAACCCTCGGCAACGTGCTGAATAACTTTCCGAATGATAACCTCATGGTCAATATTGCGCGACTGTGTTTCGGCCTCAACATGCTTACTACGCTTCCGCTCGAAGCCTTTGTATGTCGAGAAGTCATGACCAACTATTGGTTTCCAGACGAGCCGTACCACCCGAACCGCCATCTCATCTTCACGACTTCGCTCGTCGTCTCCGCCCTCACACTCTCCCTCCTCACCTGCGATCTCGGTATAGTGTTCGAACTGTTCGGCGCAACTTCTGCATGCGCATTGGCGTTCATCCTGCCGCCTCTGTGCTACATGAAGCTAAGCCAAAGAAGCTGGAAGACGTACTTGGCTGGGGCTGTTGCGGCATTTGGAGGTATCGTTATGGTCATCAGCATCATTAAGACGACGAGCAAAACGATGATGGGTAACAGTGAAGGGGCCAAATGTAGTTGATCTATATTGTATCATATATATAGCGAGCATTGGGTGGCGTTCTGGTATACACGTTGCATGTGCATGGCGCTGAAGGCTGGTGGTGGTCACCGACCTTGTTAGACAGAATCTTGGAATACATTGTGATCATTCGCTGCCAACGAGCACATGCATTGTCGCATCGCCGAAAGTAAGGCTTCACGAAGACTATTCTTGTCTTCCTCGGTTCAATCGGCACCCAATTCCTTGAAGTTGGAGTCTCGTTAAGCTCACTAGCTTTCCTCAAGTCCGGTACACCAAGTGCCTCCGGCACCACATCCGGCGCAAGACGCGTACTCACAGACCCACAACAAACTTCAACACCACGCTAAGCTTCAATTCACAATATCGCGATGAACGTTTCGCGATGACCGTTTTTCCTGGTCCCCAATTCATCTCGTAGATTAGCGATGACGATGCGGCTGCTTTCTGTGATGTTGGAGGCGCAGATCATCCCCTGCTTTGGGGCATTGACGTCACGCAATGCAGGTTCCCGAACCCTGCTTTCGCGACCTTGACAGACAGCTGGGAAGACACGACGAAGGAGCGCTATGACAGGGAGGACTTCACATATAAGACCCGGCATGTGCGTTCCGAATCTTCAACTCTAACTCTCCAGACTTTATCATCTCCAGCGTCTAGCCAAGCACGCATCTCGCAGTCCAGATCTCCTGTCGATTATCTTGAAGCTTCTCATAACTCCTATAACCCAACCACCAACATGCCTCTTTTCGGATCCAAGCGGGAGCCCAGCCCTCCTCCTGCTCCTCCTCAGAAACACTCCATGTTCTCTAGGCGTCGCTCTTCTTCCCCTTCGTACAGGGATTCGCGCCATAGCAGCTCCACTAGCCGCACCACCACGACATACACCTCGTCCCCTAAGCGCACATCTGGCATGTTCAGCCGTGGCTCCGGAGACCCTAGCATTGCGACTGCGAAGCAGAGTCTGATGACTGCTGAGGCTGCGGAGAGGGACGCTGACCGTGCGCTCTTTGTTGCCAAGAATGCTGTGAGGGAGGCGCGGGAGCATGTTCATCGTTTGGAGCGTGAGGCTGCTGAGGAGTAAGTACTACCCTGGACAACGAGTATCATATTATGTGGTTACTGACAACTATACAGGGCGAGACTTGCGAAGATCAAGCAGGGTGAGGCCAAGGCTCTCGGCAAGAAGGGCAAGCTGCTCGGAAGACACGACCATGTCTAGATCGACCCAATGCGCCACCCTTTGGAACAACCATCGATACGGCGGGTCGAGCTGGTTCTCATTTTCTTTTATCATAATGTTGAATGATGTGAAGCGCGGAGTTGTTGGATTTCCTATGTCGCCATGAGCGCTTGTATAATACCCCTGATGTCTCTATGCATATCCAATTCTGTTTGTCCACCGTGTATCTCACCTTATGCGTCAATTTGAGTGATCACGTCAGCCTGACAAACGTCATTCCATTGTCTGGGTTCACATGCTCTACCACGCCTGATAGAAGATGGCAAACAGACCGGCGGTCTCGTGGATACGAGCATATTTTACAAACACTTTCTCTCTACTACTTATACCACAGGGAGACCCTCCTACATAGAATAAGGCAGGCAACTCATGGACTGCTCCATCAGCAGTAAGTCTTCATATATCCCCGTCGCCGTTGTGCAGCAGACTAATCTGATAGTAGAGACTGAGCGCGACCACTCGATGCGAAAGACCATACACTGAATCTCCCGCAGGCGGTGGTCATGTGAAAGCCAAAGCAAAACACTAGACGACGGAAAAACTAGGAGGCCTTCCGTTCGCCAAAATGAAAGGGCTTCTCGACAAACGCACAAACTCCCTCAGCGCCCACACACCACCGATATTCCCACCCCACCAACACAACTCTACCTCAATTCTTTATACCCCTCCCTCTTACACGTATAACACCTTTCTATACACTCTCTTCTTTCATTCAAGATGGCCCGCACCAAGCGCGAAGCCCGCCGAGCGCCCAACTCCATCGCTCAACATCGTCGCGACATCGCGGCCTACTACGCGGGGCTTGTCCAGGACAAGAACACACCGGCTCGTCGCCATGCACTCGCGTACTCCTCGCTGCCTGAGGAGACGCCCATTCCAGTCGGTTTCGTAAGTTACCGTTACCTCAATTCAAGGATAAGCAACCGCTAACTTCAACCCCTCTTCAGATGGGCCAGGTCATCAAGGAAGCGCAGAAGTCACCGCAGACGCGCGAACTAGATGAGTTCAACCGTCTCGTCGCCGCTCGCCTGGAGAACAGGGAGACATCGGTTGAACGGGCCTTGTTGAATCTCCTCCTCGACCGCGAAGCCAAGATAGAGCAAGAAAAGCTCGAGCAGGCGGCTGCGACTGAGGCAAAGAAGCAGCAGTGGGTCCTCGACGGACAACGTCGTCACCAGGGCATCTTGTCCGCTGGCGGCGACCCTGTCTGGACTAGACGTCATCTCAACAGGGCCTTTCTGGGCTACGGCGACAAGTCAGATTCCGACTCTGACAGCGTCTTGAGTCCTTCTGAGAGCGACATCGACGACCCCGACTCGGGTCGTATTCGGAAAGACCCTCCGGTCGCGGGCAAACAGCCTGCTGTCGGTGATACGTCGACTCCCACTCCTGAGGTGGTCAAAGAAGAGGTAAGCCCGTCCATCCCATCACATGTACCATCATTACTAACATGAGCCAGGCCAAGACCAAGATCGCCGACGCCATCTCGACCCTCACGTTCGAGAAGGGATCAGACTGCCCCCTGTGGATCGGCCACCTCGAAAAGCCGCTCCCACACCCCTCTCTGACACCGCTTCAGAACGAACACGTTCTGAAGCGTCTGTACCACGACGAGATCGCGCGTCTGAGCGCCCTCCGCGACACCCGTGGCCCTCCCGCTGGACACCCTCCGGGCGGAGACTGGATGTATACATCCTTGTATGGTGAGACGAAGCAGGTCAAGGAGGAGGCGGCTGGAAGTCACCGGGCTGCTGCGAGAGGCTGGTGGACGTATAGTGTAGATGGTGAGGATTTGGAGGAGGTTTGGGAGAAGTGGCCGGTTGGCCTTGATGGGACGCCGGTGGGCTGGAGGAGGGTGAATTGGAAGGATGGGACGGTGGGGACTTCTCTGGTGAGGAACTGGTTGGAGAGGGAGTTGTGGGCGATGCCCGAGGAGGATGCGATGGAAGGAGTTGAGTTTGAGTAGGCGGGTGGCTGACTTGCGTGTCTTCCTGACTAAGTACGGACGATGCGAGGGTATGTAGTTGTGTCAAGATACCATAATGGATACATCTGAAAGACCATGATCTCACTCAGTTGATGATACCACATTGGTTCAAGTAAAGTCTCTTACACCGACCACGAGGGAGCCTGTCGTAGACAAAGGATTTCAGTAACTGCGACCATGACACCCCCAAGGTCATGTCGTCTCTACTACACATGTCGGCCTTGCCTACAACCTTCAGTATCCCCATGTATAACCCTGGGGATCATGGCACCCATATCTTGATCATCAGACTCGGATTGTAGACTCCTTGCTGCCCTTGTCAACAGCCTCGTAAGGAGTCCATTCGCCGACTCGGTACTCGATCTTTGTAGAATTATGTATAGCTCTGCAGTACCCTCGACCCATACAGTGCAACTCGCTGATCCTGCTCGTGCTTGCGTGCATCCACGTAGACATTGTGACCCATCCACGTATGATACCTGTTGAAGCCTCTACTGTTTGCATTCGTGAACCTTGACTTGCGAAAGCCGTATGACGTCTCAGCTCTACGTTGTAGTACCCCAGCCATCTTGATATGGTCCTCTTCGTAAACCCAAAGCCGTTCGCCGTCCTCATGTCTGTCTCTACAGGACCCTGGACCCTCAGCCGCCGACATGTCTCCCACAAGGTGAGGTGACATCGACATGCTGCTGGCCTTCAATATGCGTCCCAGGATGTAGCTGATCCGAGGCTGTACTGTCGATCGCGGGTTCGGGCTCTATGGTGGGATGAATTTGCGGTGAATCGTCGTGGGCTGTTCGCGTTCTCGAGGCAGCAGCTCTACAGTAGCATAAGCAATCTGACCCAGGGAAGACGGAGGGTATAGGTATCGATGTAGGCAAGCCCGGGGGCGTTCGATGTTCGGTAGCTGCTCATGGGCGCGACGCCGCAGGCGGGCGCTGTGGTCTTGGTGTTGCACCGCCCGCCACCTCCGCGGCCAACTCGATGTTCTCAAATCCGCAAGGCAGTGATTTGCCCCCAAGTCTCGAGGGTTCCTCCGTGTCCGAGCTGCGGTTCCACAACCACATTGTCAATTCTGTCCAAAAAAGTGTCAGGAGAAAGATATGGTTCAGGGCTTCGCTGCTGTGCTCTGTCGACCCTTATAGACATCTGCTGCCGTGTTGCATGAGCCTGCCAGCTCCCCCATGTGAAGCTCCCAGCGAAAAGTTTGGTGTTCCTTTGCTCCCTCAGCTGGGTTTTGCGGAGGACTCTCGGGCAACCCACTCCCTCCACGCTGTATCTTCACCACCACCAGACCAAAAAATATCTGGGGAGTGCCAAAAGGAGCGCAGAGCTCACGATATCCTCCTCCAACTTTTCTGGTGTTTCTTTCTCGACGTGGTGGAGTTGCACTCCCACATTTACACCCTTGGGGTGAGCCTCCGCCACCGCGCACGGTCGCAACTGCTTCTCTGCTTCACCCCTAGTGCTATCTGGAAGCTCAGGGTCCAGGTTATTGAGTCTCCCCTCAAGCCTGTCTATACCTTAACACCCCTCCTCCCCAGAGCCCGAAGGGCAGTACGACAAGCACCGTGAAGCCCGTCGCAAGCTCCTCCAACTTTCCTGGTGTCGATACGACGTCAGGGGCATCTTGAGCGTCCATTGATGCGAAGTGATGGTGAGCGTGAGGCCGCGAGCCTTAGCTGCGAGCCTGGCGGCCTGGCCAGGGCTGCCATATAAGCTCGTCCACCGACCTCCCCCTCCAACTCTTCAACCACCCACCACCACAGCTATATGCAAACTTTTGAGCTCGACAGGAGTGGCTTCCTATCGGAGCGCAGCAAAGTGCTGCACATGAGCGGTCTGCCCCACGATACGTAAGTCAAACCTTCGCTCCGCTCTAAGTCTCTTCGTGCACTCTCTGACAACCTCATCAGCGCCGGCGGGTGAACGCAAGGCTTTTTCGAGCCTGATACGTGCACTCATGCACGCTTGTGCGCCACCTCCTCGATGACGACGTACCTGGTAAGTCATATTGACACTGCTTGCCTGCTTGAGCGCTGTACTCTCTTCGCGCTCTGTACTGTGGATCGCGCGATATACCCATCCTGCCCCAAGTCGCTGCGAGGCGCCTTCAACCCCGCCTTTGGCAACGTCTTGCTCTCTCCCCTCCAGTACTCTTTTGACTCTTCTTTTATAACCTTGCTCCATCTCTTGCATACTAACATACCATTCAGTCTCGCTTTCGGGCAGGTCCCTCCGCACTCCTGACCAGCACAAGCCCACCGGAACTGGGTTTGCCATCTTCTCGTCCCATGAAGAGGTATGTACCGCATTAGCAATCTACCTGCTTTTGCTAATATTGAATAGGCTGCGGAATCGCTCTGCATGAACGGACGGCTCATCAACGCCACACGCTTCGCTATGAGGTGGAGTCGGAGTAGTTCGTCTCTCGCCAATTCCAGGCAGTCGCTCTCCAAGTTTTCTACGAAGAGAACTACTTCGACTTCACCTCCAAGACATCATTTCGGGCGTCGCTCAAGGTATGTGCTGCGTTAGCAATCTCCGCACTAGAATCTACTAACACAGCTCAAGGACAAGCATGCCCGCATTGTGGACCTCAGCAAGAACGGTGATGTCTTCGGGATGCGGTGCATGTGGTCCCGCGCCTGAGCAAGAACGAAGCGTACCCGCAGCCTAATTTGAAGATATCATGGCTAACATGCATGGCCAACATGCATGGCCCGAATCTCTCAACCTCCAGGGCGTGAGCGACTTCGACCCCAACGATCCCCTCTACTGGGCAATGGAGCACTGCCAGTCAGAACGACCCAAACCAGCAACTACATGGAAAACGGCCGCTGGTATCATGGCTTCCGGAGAGGCCTCTACATGTACCCGTGCGACGAGCCCGAGAACGACCGCATGGACATCTACCACCAATTCTTTGCCGTCGCACGGAGAGGGCAGCTGCACCAGTCGCCGCACGCAAACGTCAAGCTCCCCGAGGCCGTTCGCAAATGTTGAGTGCGACGATATGGCGCTATTTCGATATATACGCCCTCTTGGGCGTCACGCTCTCCGTCGGCACCTGCCGACCCTGCACCGCCAGAGCCGCAGACCAACAAGAAGCGAAAGGCTGAGAAAGAGCCCGAGGTTAATACCGTCTTAGTCTTCTAGATCACTCGCTGACATGATGCAGCCGAACAAGAAAGCCTGTGCCGAACCTCTTTGTGATGTTCCTCAGAAAAGGACTTGCCCTCCTCAGCCTCGAATCAATATGTACAAAGACGAGGAGGGCAAGTTCAACGGCAAAGTCGTGCGAAGAGGTACGTCTGTCCGATCCAATGCCGACCTCAAGCGCTAACTCAACAACAGCTGCATCGCGAGTCGGTCCTCGTGAAGCCCGTCAACACGAGAATACCCCATCAAGAAGTTCGATACCAGAAGAGAACTCGTGTTGGCGGGTCGTCACACCGGAAACGACCACGGCATGGGTGGCGGACACATGCGTGGAGGCGCCGGCGCTGTACCCTTTAGGGCTGGGCCCCCCTCAACACCACATGGGTCATGGCCACGGCCACGGAATGGGTGGCGGACATATGCGCGGTGGCACCGGCGCTGTGCCCTTTAGGGCTGGAGACTGGAAGTGCGGAGAGAATGGCTGTGGATACCACAAGGCCACCCCGACGTCTTGACCAAGCCGATGGACGCTCGCGCCGACGTTCGCGCTTTCTTGTCAGAGCGAAGCAAGGTTCTGCACACGAGCGGCCTCCCCCACGACACTACCCAGTCAGAACTAGAGAGCTGGTTCACTCAATTCGGCGAACGTCCAATTGCGTTCTGGACTTGCAAGCAGTAAGTCGCCTTCCCCTAATGGGGTCGGCGCACCGACAACACGCCATGCAGCTGCCCTGATGACCTCCGCGAAAGCTTCCTGCATCATGTAGGACGCAGAGAAGTTTGTGGCCTGGAAATTCGGCGGCCAGAGATACGACGGACGCGATCAAGTGCTTCTGCTTGCCGAGGACAAGCCACGCTTCAAGAAGTCTGGCCGTGGCGATATTCCTGACAGCGATTCAGAGTAACCACCTGTCAAAGCCAAGGATCGACGTATAGCTTTGGACACGAGTAGGATACGGGATGGAGGTTGATACGCAGGCTTAGATGCTTGAACGGGGAATGATACCATCGCCCTGGTCGTGTAAAGAGAGAGACGGCAGCTACCACAACTTCGCGAAGAACACCGCCTGTCTCCGCTGTGGTGCGAGCCGCGCATGTGCAGCTGTTGTTGCCGATTTGGAGATCAGAGTCCCTCCGGCAAGAAGAAGCGCAAGGCGCGGAAGAAGCCACTCGTGAGTACTTTTCGCATACTCTCGTCCAACTACTGACAAGCATAGTCTGATGAAGAGTTCAAAGTTACGAACGCCGAGTATCATCAAGGACGTCCCAAGTTATTCGGTTGGGGGCGACTGGATATGGGCGAGGTCGGGGCCCTATCCACCATCGGCATTGAACTCGTTGCGCAGAGTTGTTCGTTCGTAAAAGCTTCTAGCCTTGGTCTTCGTGGGAAATCGTAAGACGCTGACATCATTCGGCGCGGTGACGGAGACCGTGGCAACCCTCACATGGGACCAAGTCCGCAACGCCGGTTCCATCCGTGGGTGTCGTAGAGCGCTTGAGCAACTTCTACAACGAGCACATTGGTCCCAAGAACCTCGAGTTCGCCTTTGTAGACTCGTGGGACGAATGTGTTCGTTATGGGAGGATCGCTCGCGCCTATGCCATCCACGGAACATTCTAGCATGGCACCGCAGCGGTACGTCCAAACAACATCCTATCCAAACCGCAGATAAGACATGAGCTAACTTTGCTAGGCTTCGGCCGGTGTAAGCCGCCTTCACACCCATCGGGTCCCCCGGTGGGTGGTTGGCGCCTCAGGTCGCCTGCGACCTGATGCAGAATACTGCCGTCGGGCTCGGTACTGAGCGCCGTATGGAGTGTTCTGTGTTGGGTTCGCATGGCACCTCTGCGGCGCCGCTCCCAACGCTGTGTCGAAAAGAAACGAAAAGGCCAGCCTCACAATGCAGCAAACAAACGTCAGCGCAAGTAGTTGTATGTTGTGAGGCTGGCCGGCCGTGGAAGAAAGAAGGATCCGACGAGGACGAGGACCGGGTTTCGCCACCCATTACGCCACTATGGACGACCTCGCGCGCTCCATGGCCAAGGACATCCGCGATATCCAACCGTACGAAGGCCAGATGTTCTTGTCAATGTTCATCGACGCGAACCCCAAGCACGCTGTGTGGGAGTTCACCAACGACGGCTATGAGGACATCAAGAACCAGGTCGACCTCATCTCTAGGGGGTTGGATCGGTGAACCCTGCAACGTCGTCCATGTCGACACCATCCAGGAAAAGGACAAAGACCTCGGCTTCCTGGCCGACAGGACATCGTCACCGCCCTCGCACAAGAGAAGTGCATCTGCGAGAACGTCATGTGCTCGGCGTGGCAGATCCGCATGTTCGTCAACGCACCTAAGGCGTATTCCAAGCGGAGGGATATTCCAGATGTAAGGATCAGAACCGGGAGGTATCCTGCCACTGACCCGACTATCGAGCTGGTTCGAACGCGATCGCAACCGCAACGTAGAGCGCATCTACAACGCGATCGCAACCGAAACGTAGAGCGCATCTACAACGCGATGGTCAGCGGCGATCATGCTAGAGACAACCCCAAATCAACCGCGCGGAAGAGATGGATCGAAGAGCCACATTACCAGTCCGACTTGTGGGAAATAGCAAGAGGCCGAACGCGAAAGGTCACAGTGTATGAATGGTAAAGGGTGGGAGATGTCGTCGGAACCCCCGGCGCGGTGTGTTGGAAGTTTGTGGCGGCTTGTGGAAACGGATTTGGCGATGGGATATGAGCAACGTCTTGGTTTCGAGTTGAGGTTCAAATGCGCATGAAGTTCTCCAATCTATCTCCAAGAAACCACATGTCTCCGTTAGCCCGCGGGCCTCATGCATCGCGTCGTGAGCGAATGAGTGTTGCCACCCTCGCAGCGGTATGTAACCCCCCTCTTCATCATCGGATGTTTGCTGACGTTTGACTGCTCTGGCCCTTACCAGAACATGCCTGCCATGGATGGCAACGATGCTGACGCATTTTGGAGATGCCAGATCGCCCGTGAGGATGGCAAGGGATGGTCTGCGGCTGCACGTCGACGGTGGCTGGGCGGAAGATGGCGACCCACATTCGCTTCCGCGCGTCATCCTTCCCGGACTTCCGACCGCATGTCTTCGCTCCTTCTTCGCAAACTTCATCGAGAAGCTCGCCAACCCATCTTCCATCGTTTCGTAATACGCGGTGTATCGTTGTTCATCTCGCTGGCGATAGAAAGAGCTAGGAAAATACCTTCGCGGCATGCACCTGGAAGGCTGTGCGCCATGGTCTTCGGATTTCCGTTGTGAGGGCGTCGAATGGCGTGGAAGATGCCCTGTGAACAGCATCACGCTGCGCAAACTATTCGTGTCTCGTCGCGGCATGCTCAACCATATTGTAGCTATGGCTATGCGCAGCCCCGATGATATTCCCATCGCCGCTCCGAGCTCATGAGGGAACTCAGCCCGAAGACATCGCTTCCGAAAGCCCAATCTTGACCACCTACCGAGAGTATGGCTGGCTATGCGATGCCTGACATCGAAAGCGCCCATATTGGCTGTCTTGTGTTATGATGAACACGTTCCGACGCTGTCCAGCGTTCCAGATGTCGCGTCGATTCTGCGGCTCCTTGGTCCTTGCCGAAGACTCTCAGCACGGTCGGCTGGATGCTCGATCGCTGAGGATGCGCAGAGAGAATAGCCTTGTTCTGTCGTGCGAGGTTTACGGGCGAAAGGTCGCATTGTCTTGCGCGCGTTCTCCTATTCCAACTTGCTGAGGCTCGTGCCCTCGTGTGCTGCTGGGCGTCTCAAGCTTGAGGCTGTCCGCAGTCGATGGTGTACCACGCGCAATTCGAGCAAACCGGTCGCGATTCGTTGGTCGCATTCCCCGGTTGAAGTGTGCATGCGGGAGAAGCAGACATGCCGCTTGAATGTCGCTGTGGCTCGTCGCCGGTATCTGTCGTGTTTGGAGCCTTCGCCGCCGTCTCGTCGAGCTGCCGTTCATCCAAGGGGTGCCTCTTCTATCTCGCTGTTGTCTGGCCCATTGTCGCTCTCGCATTCGGTATGCAGCCCATCCAAGCCTTGTGTTTGGTCTGCGATCAAGGCACATCGGCGGTATCGGTCGAAGCGGAGGCGCTCTGCGGCTTCGTGGGAAGTTGTGCGCGAGGAGGGCGGGGATTCGGAATGGTCGCAGGGCGTGCCCAAGGTTTGCTCTAGATCACTGTATCCTTTGTCAGTCGCTCTTGGATCTTCTACATCGGCCTCAGATCTGCTGTGTCCAGTCGCCGTCTTGGGCAGCAAAAGTCTTCAAGCTCGTTCTCAACGCCGCGGAGGAGCCCGCCACCACGGGAGTGATCAAGCCGGCCATGGGCGTATCATACCGCTACTGCTCGCTGTCAAGAAGCCGATCTTCCGTCAATCACCAGTAAAAGTCGCGCAGTAGCTTGCCGTTCCGTCGACGGCCTTCGCCTTGGGGTGAGTGAGCTCCCCCCATCAGGGGTGAGGGGATCTTAGCCACGCCCTCGAAGAGACGTCGCGCGACCGTGTCTATCATCGACGATGCCCTATGTCGGAGAAGCTCGCAGGAAGCCTCTATCGTCGGCCTGGGCGTCGAGGGGCTCGTGGCGCGATGTTGTGGGTCGTTGCCGTGAAAGGATGGTGAACGAGCCTGCTGTCGCGGGGCATGATGCCTTTCGAGAAAGCCGTTGCAGTAGAGGGTTTCGCGCCTGACAAGGCTCTGGTCAAGGTTTGGCGAGTAGCCGCATTCCTATGATGGCGTTTTGGTCGTGTGTGTGGTGAAGCTGAGGCGGCGGTCAGCGGAGCGATACGAAGCACGATATCAGCCCCACCACGATGCAGCCCGCCCTTCATCAAAGCTGAGGAGTCGCGTCAAGCATAGAGTAACGGGGAGGCCATCATGCCCGAGGAGGCGAAGTTCCAGGATGCGCCCAAGCACAGCTGGGAGTCGCGCCTTGCACAGCCAAAGCAGGCCTGCATTCCAAACCCTACTGGCCTTCTGCGGAGCGGCTAGAGGAAGACTTCCATGATCCGGCTATGTCTAAACAGCGCCCATCGCGATAGCATGTCTGCGTCCAACTCTCAAACAGTGCCAAAATGTATGCAACGCGCTCCTGAGTAGCTTGCACTATAAACATCAGGGATCGTCTCACACGATGTCAAGCATGAAGGTCAAGCATGAAGATCAAGCATGAAGATCAAGCACGAAGTGTTCAAGACATGCGATCGACCGCTCTGATTGCCTGCGGCTGCCACATGCTAGATACATGATGGTCATGGTCTCAAGAGCCTCCTACGTGGGCTCATGGTATCCCCTTGGCTCGTCGTCCTGCCGCTGCTGCCCTACTTCTATGCTTGCTCAAGTCGTCCTCGCCTTTCCTGCCGCCTCCGTCTACGTATATCAGGACCGCGTATCCCCCTGGCCTCCCTCCTGCTCGCCTATCGCCTTGCCTCGTACCCATCGTGGCTTTCTTGTGCTGGCTTCGGTTTGATGTAGGCTATAGATTGGGGAGTCTGGAATTGGACGTTGTCCTAGCAGGTCGGTCGCCGTCAGAGGTTCATAACACTGCTGTCGGTGAAAGATATCCCGGACAGGACTGATCAGTATACTTTCTTGGGATGCTACGTCAACAATACCAATGACCTTCGGTGGTCTCTCATCATACCCCGCTTACCCTCACCGTCAATGGGAGTCACAGAACCCCAGCAGAATCCCGGCGCTAGTGGGTCACCCAAATGGTCAACAGCACTTCACGCAGACAATAGAGGTGCTGCACGCCCTGGAAAAGCTTGCAATTGCTTGAGCTGGTTGCTACGTAGCCATTGAACAATAGTATCCCCTTACTGGGTCTCAATAAAGGGTCGTCGTCGAGTACAGGTCACCGTCGCTCTCGTCTTGGCGCGGGAGCTGGGGCCTCAGGGCGCCGACTATATAAACAAGCGATTTTGGGGATCCCTCTTCTGCTCTTTGGCAACCACATCACTCTGCCCAGTTACAGAATTGTTTACAATTCTGAAAAGTCTCTTCCCTCCTCCCTCAACAACAACAACACCAACACCAACAAGACCTTTCGGCAACCCCCCACCATCCTACATCACCAAGTCCGGAACATCACCGGCAAATACGTCACCATGTGGCGTTGCTTTGCACAAGTTGGGCCTGAGGCCGATGGAGAGGAAGTCCCTCCCCCCGCCAACGCCGGTTTCGCCCTCGAGGGACGGCGGATCCCGCCTTGGATCGAGCCACCGGCGCCGCCTCGCCCAGCAGGTGGCTTCCCTCCTCCTCCGCCGCCGCCTCCGCCACCGCCTCCCCCGCCCCCTCCACCCCCTCGGGTCTTTACCCAGTGGGAGTTGCACGGGATCCGGGGCATGGCGCTCCACAACTTCTTCGCCTCCCTCTCGCTGGCCGACCAGTACCGCTGGCGAGCCCTCCAACACAACTGAGGACGACGTGGCGGTGGACGACGACGACGACGACATGACGGGTGCGGTGTGGCCTCCTGGGTGGGCTTTTGGGTTGGGTTTGGGGAGTTTGGGCTGGGGTTGTAGCCTCCTGGGTGTCTTTTCGGCGCGCTCTGGTCGCGTATATAGTTGAATGGAGTCTCCTCGCTGCCTGCTTGTTTG